CAGGTGAGGCCGGGCAGGAGCCCTGCTGCGTGCCCCCGACCCCGCGTGGCGCCTCGAGGAGCGGGTGGGAATGCGGGGGGAGCCGGCAGACGGGAGGGGCTCCCAGCCCTGGGCCTTACAGCGGGCGCGGGAGGGGTCTCCAGGCGTCCCACGTGGCGCCCGGCCTCCATCCTGCTGCCCTCGTCCTCGTCCCCCCCTTTCTTTCTCCACCCTTTTGTTGGCGATGTTCATCCTCCTGCCCTGGCTGTTCAAACACGCTTGCTGCCGGCCGCCTTCGCTTCTTAATTGCGGCCCCCGTCCTAGGCGGAGCTGGAAGAGACCTCCAGCGGTCACTGAGTCCCGCCCCTGCGTGAGGCAGGATCGTCCCGACCCAACCGTCCCATCCACCCGTCGTCTAGAGCAGACGGGTTGCGCACCGCTGATTTAAAATGAGACCACCTTTACCACCAGCGAATTGTTTGCTTCAACCTGACGAATTTTTGTCACGTTTAAGTAGTTATTAATTGTTAATGCGTACTGCTGATGTGTTGTCTGCATACCGCCAGTGGTGCACGTACCGCAGATTGGGAACAGCTGGTTTTGAGCAGTGGTTCTCAACTCTTTTTTTTGTACTAGGACTCGTTTGTAAACATCAATGGCTAGTCCTGACCCGGTGTCCTTCACTCCCAAAAGGCTGCCCCCAGGTCCTACCTGGGTGTGGGGCAGCAGGGGCCCTGAGCATCCCCTCGCAGGCTGGGACTCTGCCATCCAGCAAGGGGAAAGCCACGGTTTCCCATGTTTGTCTCTGTTAAAGGAGAATCCGTTTTTAAAGTTTGTTTGCGACCCTTTCATATGTTCTTGCAACCCACTTTTGGGTTCTGACCCACGGGCTGAGAAACGCTGATCTAAACTCTACGTAAGAGTAGATCATGCCCCTGCCTCCCCAACCTAGGGGTGCACCAATAGAGAGGTTTTTGGGGCCAATACCAATAGCCAGTTTTTAAGGAAGTGTATCCGCTGATACCAATACAGCATGGAGAGCTGCGTGCAGCTGGTAAGTCTGTTGTAGTGGAAGGAGAGGGAAGGGGTGTGGGGGCCCAACCAGCAGCTGCAGCTCCAGAGGCTGCTCCAGAATTGTGCCACAGGGACGGACGCATGTGGTGCAGATCCCAGAGTAACTGGAATGGGCACCTCGTGGCTGTCAGCTGGGGGCGTGTAGATCCCAGACTGGCCAGAGCAGGCACTATACTACATGCGGTGCCTGCCCTGGCCTGACAACTCTGCACGCAGTGCCCACTCTAGCCAGTTTGGCACCTGCACTACATGCAGTGCCTGCAAGCACCATGTGCAGTGTGGGTCCCAGACCAGCAGGAGTGGCACCATGTGTAGTGCAGTTCTCAGTGGGGGTGCCACATGTGGTGCAGCTTGGCCAGGGTGGGTACTGGCCGGTCTGAAGTCTGTGCTGTGCACCCCCTGTTATAGTGCGCTGCACACAGTGCCTGTTCTGGCTGCTCTGCGATCTGTGTGCACCCAGCGTGGATCCCACAGTGGCTGGAGTGGGTTTTGAACCCAGAATGCCAGGGGAAGGGAGGGGATTTGCAGGCCTGATTCGGTCTGTGGACTGGCTCTGCACCACTCATTCAGTCTACAGTGATGGATGAGTTTGACACCTCTGCTATAACTGCTTTGTAGGCAGCCTTTTTTACTAGCGTGCTTTACCTATCATGAGTCTGTCTTCTAAACTTCCCCTTCTGAGGAAATGGTTTAGTGATGAATTGCCATAGGACTAACATTTGTTTTTTCTATGTGTTTGTCTTTAGAGGAGATGGTGATTGTTTACACTTGCTTTCCTGAAAAGTGTCTTCTCAGTTTACAGTTGTTAAATTTGTTATTTTAGGATATGGCTACAGGTACACTTGGAGCTATTTCAAAAGGGAGTGCTTCAAAAGGACAGCAATTATTACTTTTTAATTGTTATCTGTGAAGAACAGACTGATACAATTGTAACACAACTGCTCCAACTTTAACAGTGTGTCAACCCCTGTTGCTACTTAGTAAAGCAGCACTGAAGTGGGAGTGGTCTTGCTACATTTCTATTGTTGCTGACTTGTTCCTGAATAACAATTAGGAGGTAACAGCTCTTGCCTTTTGAAGTGTTCACCTCTTAAAATGACTCCAGGTATACAGGTGCCTGTACCCTTAGACTTATGTGTGTGTGTTTGTTTTTAAGTTTGATGGGGTAATCAGTGGAAATCTTCTGAAAGGGGACTCCAGTGATTCAGAAGATGAAGCGCAAGACAATCTTCCTCTATCTAAGAAACCAGCCTGGGTGGACGATGACGATGAAATTAAAGAAAAGTAAGTTCAGTATGTAGCGACCAAAAAGGGGGCAGGAGAGGTGGGACTTTGATTAGGTTCCTTTTTAACTGCCTATTTCTTGGAGGTATACAGAGAACAAAGTCATTAAACTTGCAAATTTTGTTCACATCCTAAATATGGCTCTGTTGTCTAGGATTGATATGACCCATCGGTATCGGAAAGACATGATGAAGAGTGATGCAGAGAAGAGTCTTACCAAAGAAAAACTTCAAATAAGACTTCAGGAACAGTAAGGTTTTTCCTGTACAAACAGATTTTGCTAATCATAAATCTTGCTGCTAATTTCAATAACAAGAATTGATCTAATAGCAGTATTACAAATGCCTTCTTTCTCCCCCCCCTTTTGACAACACCTAAATACTCAGCATGTTGCAGTGAAATTTTACTTGTGCTTTTGGAGCAAGCAACCTTGATTTCTTTAGCATTAATCCTGACATTACTCCTTGAAAGAGAGGATTTGTGTATCTTCTTTTCATTCCAAGGGCCCAGTTTCAAATTTGCGTAGGTATTGTTTCACCAATGCTTTGGAACATAGCAGTAGTTTTCGTGCACAGCAATACAGTGGCGAGTAAGAAAGGAATATAAATAAGAAGTTGCCTGAGGGAGGAAAACAGTAGCCGAGTAGAGATCTGACAGTTGCAGTCAGTGCTGGGTCCTAAAAGGAGACAGTGAAGTGTGTTAATCAGTACTATTAGGGAGGAATGTTAGTTTAAAGGAGAGAGACAACGTTTTGGTGAAGACACAAGTTGTAAGCCCAAACATACAGTTTTGTGAATATAAAAAAAGTTGCTGCCACTAGAAATGTAAATACCTTTGTATTTAAGGGCTTTCTGGAATACATGTGAATATAACCATGTAGGAAAATGTCACTTGTTCAGTTTTGAAGTTACTTCTGTGCTTAGACACTTGGAGTCTTTCTTTCCATGGTTAATAAAACCAGCGTGCCCAAGAGTATTTTATAGTTACAGCAGTTTGATCTCAGGCTGTAGAAAGTGTATTTGGTGGGAGCAGACTAGAAAAGCCCTTTAAAAGAAGGAAAGGATGGTTTATGGGTGTCAGGTAGGAGTGTGGAACTCTGTCAGGCAGAAGATATTGTTTTCTACAGTGGTGGTTGGGAATGGGGGAGGAAATAATAGCTTTCTGGAAAATGGGTTCTGGGCAACGTGTACATATTATTCATTCTTTCCTAAAGAGGAATGTATTCTATCTTTTTAAGGTTTCAGAGAGCTATGGGAGGAGTGCCTTCATGGGCCCAGAGAGGAAAGAAGAAAACCAAGAAAGGTATGATATAAACCAAGAAATGATGATAATTAACATGGTCAGTAAAGTATTCAGTGCTTTCAATGCGTCTTACTTTGTGTTACTACTTTATTTTTTTTTTTTGACTGTTACTCCCCCCCCCTTAGAGCAAACTGTGCAGAGATGTTTTTAGCTTTGGCTTTTCAATGCACTTTTATTTATGACTGACTTTTGCCTCCTTCCCCCAAAGCAAACATCTGATTATCTTAAATTTGTGAGTTGAGATACTGGAATAAACTGTATATTCAAGAATCGGCTTCCTCTTTTAGATGACAGTGAGGATGAAGATGATGATGATCTTCTATGCAAGACTGGCAACTTTGTGTCTATTTCAGAGTCTTTACCAAAAGGTATTTTGCAGGTAAATAACTACCCTGCTGCGCCCTCCCCCCTGGAGTTGGTCTGGGTACACAGACTTCGAGACAGAGCTGTGCTACTCAACTGGTTGGGAAGCAGTTTGCCAGTACCTGTTTGGATGCCTTGTTTACTGAAAGGTTTTCCAGACTTGAAAGCTTGTGTTTTTTTTTTTCCCTTTAGGGAACATGAAGTCAGTTGTGTTCTTATCATAACTGCCATATGATGATGAGAGAGACTTAACAGTCAGTTTCAACACCTGTAGCCCCATCTGTACTCCAGAAACATTAGCATTAGGGCTGTGTGAAGCTTTGGTCCCCGATTTGATCCGGCCCGATTTGGTGGCTGAATCTTTGAATCCAAATTGAATCAGAGGACCCTTTAATTTCTCCAAATTGAATTGGAACCCTCCAAATCGTTTTGGAAATATTCGCCGATTTGGACATAGACACAGTTTTAAATGTTTTTTTCTACATAGCTCTAGGTAGCAGGCAGTTCGTGAGTGCTGCGATGCTGGGGCGCATAGAGTGTCCCACAGAAGCACAGGGAGCTCCCCAGCGCACTCGGCAGCAGACCCAGAAGTGGACAAGAAGCACTTCCGGTCCACTTCTGGGGGTGCCAGAGAGCTCACTGTGGGGCCCCCGTGCGGACCCTCTGGCTTGGCAACTGGTGCCGCCTGGGTCTAGTGGGGGGTCACAGGGTCCTCCTGTGGCTGATCGTCAAGCTGGAGGGGCACAGGAGGGCCCCCCAGCACGCTCCTCAGCGGACACGAAGTGGACCGGAAATACTTCTGGTCCGCTTCCGGGTTCTCAGCATAGCATGCAGGGGGCCCATCCATGCTCCTGTGGGACGCTCCATCCACCCCAGCATCGCAGTGTCACGAGCTGTGCCTGATGCCTCCGAGGTATATAGAAAAAACATTTAAAGCTGCGCCTGTGCCCGAGTTGCCGATTCTTCGAATCAGCATAGTCTCTTTTGATTCAAATTCGGACGAATCAAATTGGGGACAGTGATCTGAATCAACAAATCAAATCACTGCCCCCGAATCAGAATCCAATAGGGCCCATTTCACACACCCCTAATTAGTATAGAACTCCTAAATGCCAGGATCACCTGATATCGTTGTACAAGCTGAAAGGAAAGATGCTGTTCATTTCTCAGAGCTATTGTCAGGCTTACTGCAAACTCTTTACTTGAGGCTTATTGAAGCTTTTGATAGCTTGTACCAACTACATACATTCAACTAAAGGATGGCCCCAGCTTCCAAGGGTTATGCAGGAAGGACAGCATTCCGAATTGTTCTCCAGAGTGGCGTGCCTTATGACTTTACAGTGAGGTGGGGAGAAACATGAGAACTGCCGTAATAGAATCATTGGAAGTTAGGGTTGGCAAGGAACTTAGGAGGTCATCTAGTCCAACCCTCTTCTCAAAGCAGGACCATCCCCAACTAGATCATCCCAGCCAAATAGCTCAGACATAAGATCTGTTTAGCTTAGTATCTTGTCTTGGATGGTGACAGGTAGTATTTAGGGAGTATAAGAAGTAGAGCATGCATAGTGATCAAGCCTTTTGGTTACCAGCAGACAGGTTTGGGCTTGTTTCAGGTTATTTTATTGTGTTCTAGAATGGCAGGCATTGTTTTTAGTAGACTGGACAGGGAAGTAACTAGTTTGACAGTACAACGCAACACCTAGTAGTCTTACACAACAGCCTTATGTGAATATGTAGCACAACAAAAGCTATTCATGTGGGATTGATATTCTTTTTTTTGTGTGGGGGGGGTGATTTATTTTCAAGAGGTTTGTGTGGAAGCCATTTGCAGCTACTCTGTAGTGTTCGTGTTCTTTACTGTCCAGAAAAATACAGCATATGCTTATTCTACTGGTGAGTGTTCAGACAATGGTCTGAATCTGGTAGTAATGCAGAACACTTACTGTGTGCCCGAAGGTTGAAATCACCTGCACCATCTTACAAATGACCTGGGTCCTACTTATCTAAAGCACCACCTCCTTGCTTATGCTTTATATGATTCCTACGGTCATCTGCAAGTGGCCTCTTGTAACTACCATTTGCACTCCAGGTTCACTTAGTCAAACATGTGGGAGGCTCCTTGGTTGTTACTCCTCAGCTCTGGAACTCCTTCCCCCTTGAGACCTGCCAGAGCCCGAGTCTGGCTATCTTTCAGAGGTGGTATAAGACTTTTTTGTGGGGGGCAGGCTTTTAGCAGGTGGGTTTGTTTCCAGGTGTTCTTAAGGGCACTGTTTTTATTGTTTTATCTGATTTGATGGTACGGTGCTCTGAGCCTTTTTGAGGGAAAGTGACATAAAGATCAAATTATTTAATAAGATTGCCTCAATCTTGTATTGATCAGTTGAGGGTAGGAACACATGTATAGTGAACTGCAGCCTGTCTTAGCAACATTGCTCTGTGTTTTAGATGAAAAACTGTTTGAATGCCAATAATGAACGTCCTTCTGATGCCAAACTGACCACAGTGCAGTTTCATCCTTCAGCACAAGTTATCATGACTGCTGGACTAGATCAGTCTGTGTCACTGTTCCAGGTGAGCGGTTTTATTTTATAAAATGTGAAATGGACTTGAAAGTATCATACTCCCCTGAATGTAAAAAAAACTAGCTGAAAAGCCTAAGAGGGCCTAAGGTAGAACTCTTCATCTTCCCCAGTAGGAATCATGGTTGACTGAGGTTTTTGGTCTTTCTTCCGGAACAGATTCCCACTTGCAATATGTCACACCTTGACGGTATCTGAAATAGTAATACTTGGACACATTCCACTGGGGTTCTCAATTTTGAAGGTTTCTCTGGGGAGGGGTAAAATGACTTCTGTTAACAGCTGGAACTGATTTATCTACTCTTTTTTGTACTTGTACCTAGAACTATCTGGTGGTCACATCGGAAATAACTTTCTATTTTTTTTTCTCCCCCCCCCGAAGGTGGATGGTAAAACTAATCCAAAGATACAGAGCATCCATTTGGAAAACTTTCCTGTGCGTAAGGCTTGTTTCAGTGCTGATGGAGAGCGGGTCATAGCCACAAGTATACGCAATAAAATGTTTTATGTGTATGACATGATGGGTGGGAATATTATTCCAGTAAACCAAATAAGAGGTGAGCGCTAATAAAAATGTCAGTATCACTTTTAATGTTCCCAGTATAAGAGTGTGAATCTATTCGGTGTATGTGGTGTTTGCTAAAAGTTTTCTAGTGTATTAAACAGGTTTTTCTTAATGGAATAAAATAACACGTTTTTGGTAACATGGATGTCAATAGTATAGACCATGCAAGAAGCATCTTTTACTACAGAACTTTAGAAGGATTTAAAAATTTAAAAAGTCAGGTTTTCCGTACTTTCCCATCCTACTGAACCCTCCTGCCCACCTATAAATTTAGGCCTTGATACTGTATGAAACCTATCGACATACAGGACAGGTCTATTGTAACACGTTCATGTGGAACCAGACAGAAACCTCATGGAAAGTTTATTTCATTATAATGCAGCAAACTATCCAACAAATCCAAAATATCAGGAATCTGTTACAAGTGGAGGCTTTCTATAAACGGGGTTTGTTATAATTAAGCTGTTCTGAATGTAAGGCCAAGTCAGCTAAATCCCACTGAGAATAAAAAATGTGCATCTTCATGCCACTCATGAGTTGTCTAGTATCTTGGAATTCGGATCTCTTTTGCATAGGTAAATAATTGCTTAGTATCAACTTGGCAAATGTGTTTTGTTTCAATCTGGTGTCATTTCATGAACTTGACTTGTAAAGCTTGTGACCTACAAGCATGCTATCTAATACTTAGGTCTTACTTGTCAACAGCATTGGCTGTTATGCCCCAACAGTCTCTTGCACTTCTTCAGTCTAGTACAGTTTAAACCCTCATTTGTCTCAAGTTTTGAAGTTCTGTACTGGGTAGTAAGCAAGCTCAGTTTGTTAATGACTAGCGGTGTTCTTGTCCGCCTTAAGTCCTGGATCTGAACAGTCACAGCTGTCTCTTTCTTCTGGTATTTGGTGGCTTCTCAGTTGTCCAAATGTAAGCATTATCTTTAGTTCTAAGTATACAGATACAGAGATCATAAAATAATACCTACATGATGTATATGCTGATAGCATTGTAACTAGTGCTGTATGCTGCCATACACAGTGTAGATGCAGCTTGTTAACTTAGGTGTGGTGTTTGTTGGTGTGTTGCAGATT